GCGCCCCGGGGCCGCCCCCCGGCGCAGCTGACGCCGCGGCCCCGCGAGACCCCGCCGGCCCCTGAGGAAGCGCCGCGCCGCCTGCCCAGCGCCCGCGCCGCCCGGCACGATGGCGGGGAAGGCGGCCGCCCCGGGCACGGCGGTCCTGCTGGTCACGGCCAACGTGGGCTCGCTCTTCGACGACGTAAGTGCGGCCGCCGCAGGCCGGCCTCACCCGGCCCCGACCCCGACCCTCACCCGGCCCCGGCCCGGCCCCGGCCCCACAGACCTCACACCCCAACTTGCGGACCCGGTCCCTGAACCCCGCCTGAGCCTGGGCCTGGGCCCTGAGCCCCTAGACCCTGATCCTTAACCCTGAGCCCGAAACCCCAAACTCTGTGCTCTGGATCCTGGACCATGAACCCCGAGACCCTAAATCCCGGGACCCTGAGCTTTGAGCCTAGAACCCCAGACCCCTGCCCTGACCCCCAAGCCCCAGACCGCAGTCCCCTGCCTGATCTCAAGCCTGGAACCTGAAGACCGGGCCACTGAATCCCTGAACCCCAGCCTCTAAACTCTGGCTGCTGAACCCTAACCCTAGAACCTTGCCTCTGAACCCCATCTTCAAATCCCGACAGGAAAACTGCAGTCCTTGAATCCCAGTGCTGACCCCTGTTCGTGGTCCCTGGAATCCAGACCCCAGAAACCCAGTCTGTGGGCATCAGATTCCAAACCCAGCCCCACCTCTGATTCCTGAACCCTGATCCCCAGGCCCTTGGCTCTGGCCCTGTCTTCAACCCTGGCCCTGAACCCTGGAACCCCTGTCCCGGAACCTTGGCCTCAAACCTCTGTCTTGAGTCCCTGAACCCTGGAACAGAACCACAGATCCTAACCCCAGAACTGACTCTGAACCCTGGCCCCCAAACCCCTGTCCCTGGTCCCTAAACCCTGAATTCTAACTTTAGAACCGCAGCCTTCAAATTTGGTTCCTTGCCCGCCAAACCCAATCTAGCCCAACCCTAAATCCTGAATCTCAACTCAAACCCCAGCTCCTAGCCCTCAACCCCTGTCCTGGGCCCCTGAACCTGGACCCTACCCCAAACTCCCTCAGCACCCCCCTCCCAAACTCCTACCCCAGAATTCCAAACCTTAGCCCCTAAAGCCGGGCCTTGAGCCCTGGGCCCCTGAATGCTGGTCCCCACACCCCAACTCTGGCTCCTGACCTCTGATCCTAGGCCTTCCACTCTGGGCCCCAGACCTTGGCCCCATATGCCTGGGTGCTTGCCTCTCTTGTCTGTGGCCGACTGGGCGGGGCTCCTGGTGTAGGGTACTCTTATCTTACCCTGTAACTTAGTATCTCTTTAGTTTTTAAATAAGGGGAGTCCTTTGAAAGCCCAGAGAACTTTATATTTCTTGTATGTTAAAGAAAAAGATGCAGAGAACCCCTTCAAGGCCAGGAAAGGGATGCTGACTGCCTGAGGCCTCCACCTCCTAGGGCTGCTCTGCCCAATCCGCAGTCCCACCTGAACCGAGATGGTGTCTCTGGGCAGACAGGGAGCCCAGGCCCAGGGTGCACCGGGAGCTCCCAGAGGCAGGCCGAGGCTGCCCTAGTTCAGCGTCTCAGCCACGGTGCCACCCCGCTGTTGGTGCTTACACTGCCAACCCAAATAAAGCAGAATGCGGCTCCAAGTGGCACAGATGGAGCTGCGGAGCCACGTACCTCCCTCCCTCCCTTCCCGAGGTGGACGGATTGGTGCAGTGCCAGTGTTGTGATGGATGTGTGCCGCTGATACAAGCACGCTCTAGATTTCAGAGAAGGATCTGGGTCCTTGCCGGCGGCAGGCATGGGCGCAGTGTATCATTAAGCTAAGTTCGGGCACAGGCTGGTTTGGTTTTTGTTAATAAAAGTAGGCGCTATTTTTGTGTTCTCTTTTTTTTTTTTAACTTCCAAAGCACCGTGTATCATACTCACCTGTTGGAGATGAGTTCCTTTCCCACGGACTTTGTTACGGCAACTTTATCTAGTTTCGTGTTTGATAATTTTCTGCAGAAGTGCCTGCATGGGTGTGTGCCTGTGTGTTTAGCGTTCTATTCTAGGCTCTCGAGTAACGTGTCGCTATAGCATGGTTGGTTCAGATGATTCAGACCCACTGGCTGTGGCTTCAAAGCCTCAGAAATGTCAGGAAAATGAAGCCTGATGGGGCATTTTAGTCTCGAGGGGAAAAGAATTTTGCTGTGCAAACATTCTTTCCAGTAATCTTTGATTCTGAGTTCTAGCATTTTTGCTGGGTTTCAGCTGTATACATGTATTCCTCTCCGTTGATATTAAAATGGTAACTTAATTCACTTGTGTTGAGCAGCATGTTCTCCTGCATTTTCACTCTTCCTAAGGCTGTGTGGAATTCTGCGTTACGTTTACACCTGGAAGGAACGTCTGTTTTGGTAAACAGTACGTAGGTTAATCCTGCAAGATGTGTCGTGAGTGAGGGGTAAGTGGAGAAGCACCTGTCAGGTTTATTACTGTGTGAGGCGCAGCCCCCACGAGTGGGAGCTGTCCCCCTCCGATGGCCTGGGTGAAGCCAGGGCACCAGGTGGAAACAGTCAGTCATTTCCGGTCGGGGCCTCCTTCCTGGGTTCGGGTCTGGGATATGGTGCTTGTGGGATAGACGCTTGATCTGTAAAAGTGAGTTCTTGGGTGAAGGACTTCTCAATTCCTTGGTTTGTGTTAATACTAGATTTCAGAAGCTGGGCTTTGTGACTCTGTTTGCCTTTGCGAGACACGTGCCCCTGTTGCCGAACATGCTCCGCAGAGGGGCCGAGGCCCGTGAAGGAATTCTCTCTCTCGTTTGCTTCCGTCGTCTCGGAAACCAACTAACGCCCAGCTTCAGCAGTGACCAGTGCACCAGCTGCTTCCTCGGGGGTCGTGGTTCCCAGGAGGAAGGTGTCTGAACCTGAGACAGACGTGCTGGCTGTGATGAACACCGTTTTCTTTTATGCACGAGGGACAGGTGGTGCGCTTTTGTGCAGTTTCCCCTCACAAGCCCCTTCGCCTCCCCACCTGGAGGTCACCCCCTGGACTGCCGCCTGTGTGCACTTGAATCTTTTGTCCTTAGCATTCTGGGATGGACATGACGTTTTGTTCGGCAGCCTCTGCTTCCTCGTCACCACTGCTGGCCTCGTCGTGTCCCAGGACGCCATGCTACAGTCTGCTGAGCTGTCCCGCTGGGGAACCTTCCAGTTCCTTCTAATGCTTTGATGTCAGAGATGGTGTTGCGGTAAATACCTTACAATACATCGGTCTTCAGACTTCTGTCCCTCATGTCGTGAGGCTTACGGAGGACCCCAGAGAGTCCTTGTTCACGTAGGCTTTAACTCGCAGTGTTTGCCTTGTTGGAGGTCGAAGCTGAACGGTCAGAGCACAGGAACACATGGTGCAGGTGGCAGAGCGGCGACGCCTGCACACGCCACGTGCCCTTTGGAAGCTGCCCCGTCCCCGCTCACTGGGAGAGAAGGAGAAGGAGTGCTACTCGCAGTACTGTGAAAATAGTTTGACCCAGTCACCCTGTGAAAAGGTCTCCTCGGCCCACACGCTGGGACGTCTGTCTGGACTGGTGACCCTTCCACGCCTTCGCGCACATCTCCCTGGGCCTAGAAGTGGCTGGAGGTGCCTGTGCCCCTCCCAGGTTTGTCGCAGCGCCTGGGGGCCGCCCTCAGTGAGCTCTGTGGCTGCTCTTTAATTCCCAAATCAGACTCCTGCTGTCACTACCCACTAGCCTGCCACGGGCTCGACGGGGGTCCACGCCCACTCCTTACGCTTGCTGCGGTGGGTTTGACAAGTGAGGTCTCTGGCCTTTGCTGCCTTATGTTTTCATTAGGGGTGAACCGAGAAGGTGAACTCTTGCCGGCTGTGGTTTCAGAGGTTGGCCCCACCCCCACACAGGCAGGCAGGTTCTTGGGGAGGAGACTTAGGCCAGCGGTAGGGTCCTGAGAGCACAGCTGGCTCTGGGGTGTCTGCTCGGTCATCTCCCACGCAGCCCTGCCCTCTGCCTGGCCAGGTGCCGCACACCTGTGGAGTGGGCTCGGCAAGGGGCCGTCAGCAGGAACCCGAGGGCCTTCCCACCTGCAGGTGCTCTTAAGCCCCCAGAGTGTATGGCAGTGGCCTCGGGGTGAGTCTCCCTCTCTTCTGGGACTTCAGTGTTGCTCTTGTTTCTAGATGGTTCCGTCAGCATCCATGGTGCTGCAGTTTCTTCCACCTTGAAAACTGTGAAGCCCCATCCCCTCCAGCCCTACTGAGTGTCCTAGCCCTGCTCCTGGCAGTCCCCCGGCCTCAGCCCGTCACAGGGCCATGTGCAGACAGGGCCTGGCGGCGTCCTCTGTCCTAGCTCTGTGGACTCCTGTTCCAGGACTTTCTGTCTGGTGACGGCTTTGCTGAGGCAGAGTCCACACGCGGGACTCTCCCGCTTGAAGGGTGCAGCTCATCCGTTTATGGTATGTGCACAGGGCGGCAGCTGTCACCCCAGTCAATTTAGAACGCTTGTATCACCTCAGAAGAGACCCTGTATGCGTAACCCCTGCCGACACCCAGCCTCGCAGCCACCAGTCCACGGCCCATCCCCGCGAATTCGCCTGTCTGAGCGGCACACGCCAGAGGGATCCCAAGAGCTCTTTGCATCTGGCATCTTCCACCGGGCACGGCGTTTGCCAGGTGCATCCGTGGTGCTACCTGCGCCAGCCTCCCTCCCCTCTGTACGGCTGAGTGACACTCGCGGTGTGATGTGATGCGTTTTGCTTTCCATTCCTGCGTTGATGGGTTTTGGCTGTTCCCACTTTCCGGTTACCGTGAACAATGTTGCTGTGAGCGTTTGTGTGAATGCTGCTGTGACACGTTTTCAGTTCTGTTGGGTGTGCCCGGTCCCAGGATTGCCAGCCATGGTAACTCCATGTTTAACCCCACGAGGACCTGACCGTGACCTCCCACCAGCGGCGTCCGAGGCCTCTGACCTTCTGCGTCCTCCCCAGCACTTGTTATTTGTCTTTTCTCAAATACCTTTTCCTTGGCTTCCCGGACGCCCTGCCTTGGTTCTCCTTGTCATGCCTCTCGGTGTCAGGGCACCCTGGGCCACCTGCCTCTGGCCTCACTCACTTCCTGGGATGTCACCCAGATGGCTCTAAGTGTCCTCTCTGCACAGTGCCGCGGTCTGGAGA